CTTGGCCACACATCATCTCCAGGGTGCTGAGGGATGGCTCTGCTCGGGCTTGCTCCTTCCTCCCTCAGCATCAAACCCAGCCTTATATGTATTATATATATTAATATACATCTGTATCATTATATATATTATTTATTATATATATTATATTTTTTATAAATTGTGTATATTACATTATATTATATTATATTATATTATATTAATTATATGGTATTATATAATATATGATTATATTATTATAATATAATGATTATATTATGTATTATATGATATTTATTATATTGCATTATATTATATTATATTATATTATATTATATTATATTATATTATATAATATCATATACTATTTATTATATTTTTATATTATATCATATAATATAACATTTATTATATTTATTATATTATATTAAAGATTTCTTTTCCCTTCCCAAGAAAAGTTTCTGCAGAAAACACTCGGGGAATTGAGAAACAACTGGAAATGAGGATTTGTGAGAAGGCTGCAGACACAACTTGCCCCAAGAGCTGGTGAGGGGTTGGAGACACATCCAAATGCTGCTGCTGGGAATTCCCAGCTCTGTGTCCACACATCTCTGCTTCCAGACAAGTGAAATTTGTATTTCAGGGCATGAAATAACAGAACTAAACCCAGATCTTGCACCTGCAGCAGCACAGGGGGTGTGGCTGCATCCCAGAGCATCCCTGCTCCTGCCTGGGGAGGGTGTCAGCCCCACAACAAGGTGGGAAAATCCCAGAAAATTCCAGCCTCACTACCAGGGAGAGCTGGGGTTTGCAGGGTGCACCTCCCACACAGAATCCTAAAATTGGGAGTGGCCCTAAAGCTCATCCAGTGCCACCCCTGCCAGGGCAGGGACACCTCCCACTGTGCCAGGCTGCTCCAAGCTGGCCCAGGCCACCCCAGGGATCCAGGGGCAGCCCCAGCTGCTCTGGCAATTCCATCCCAGCCCCTGCCCACCCTGCCAGGGAACAATTCCCAATTCCCAATATCCCATCCAGCCCTGCCCTCTGGCAGTGGGAGCCATTCCCTGTGTGCTGTCCCTTGTCCTCAGGCTCTCTCCAGCTCTCCTGGAGCCCCTTCAGGCCCTGGCAGGGGCTCTGAGCTCTCCTTGGATCCTTCCCCTCTCCAGGTGAGCCCCCCAGGTGTCCCTGGATCCTTCCCCTCTCCAGGTGAGCCCCCCAGGTGTCCCTGGATCCTTCCCCTCTCCAGGTGAGCCCCCCAGGTGTCCCTGGATCCTTCCCCTCTCCAGGTGAGCCCCCCAGGTGTCCCTGGATCCTTCCCCTCTCCAGGTGAGCCCCCCAGGTGCCTCTGGATCCTTCCTCTCTCCAGGTGAGCCCCCCAGGTGTCCCTGGATCCTTCCTCTCTCCAGGTGAGCCCCCCCAGGTGTCCCTGGATCCTTCCTCTCTCCAGGTGAGCCCCCCCAGGTGTCCCTGGATCCTTCTCCTCTCCAGGTGAGCCCCCCAGGTGTCCCTGGATCCTTTCTCTCTCCAGGTGAGCCCCCCAGGTGTCCCAGCCTGGCTCCAGAGGGGCTCCATCCCTGCAGCATCCCCCGGCGCCTCCTCCGGGTGAGCTCCAGCTGCTGCTGCTGTGGGATCCAGCTCTGAGGAGGGGGCTGAGAGCCCCAATCGCCGTGTCCAGGACCTCCAGAGCTGCCCAGGCTCCCCCAGCCCCGGGGATCGCCCCTTTCCCCCTCCCCAGCCGCGCATCCCCGGCCCCGCTGCTCCGCGACCTTCGGGCTCTCTCTTGTGGCTGCTCAGCCCCGCTGCAGCCTCGCCGCCGGCCCGAGCCCGCCCGTGTCCCCACCCCGGGGTCCCCGGCAGCCGCTCCCGTGTCCCCACCCTTCCTCCCTGCCGTGGGAGCGGCCCCGAAATTGGGAACAGCGCCAGGGGCAGCGTGGGAGCAGGACTGTCCCCGCCGGTGGCCTCAGAGCTGTCCCCATCCCGCCGTCTGTCTGTCCCTCCCAGTCCGTCTCAGTCCCTCCCAGTCCATCCCAGTCCATCCCAGTCCGTCCCTGTCCATCCTGGTCTGTCCATCCCTCCCAGTCCCATTCCCACTCCATCCCACTCTCTCCCAATCCCATTCCCAGTCCCTCCCAGTCCCATTCCCATTCCCAGTCCCATTCCCAGTCCATCCCATCCCATCCCATCCCATCCCATGCCATCCCCTCCATCTCCCCCTCTCTCCCTCTCTCTGGGCTTTTCCGCCTCCCGGGCCGTCCCCAGGCCGCAGGATCGAGGAAAGCCCCTTCCGTCCTCCCTCTCTCCTTTACCATCTCATTTCCTCCCCCCTCTCTCCTCCCCGCAGCACATCGAGCCGGGCTCTTTTGCATTTCTGAGTTGGTTCTGTTAATTGGAAGGAGGGTTAAGAATCTGCAAGGTCGTTTCAATCTCCGTCTGACCTTCAGAGTAAATCCTCTCTGCCAACACCAGAGCGTGTCATTAAAATGAGGCCCCTCTTCCACATCCCGGCATCCCTTTATTCTCTCCTTGTGCACATTAATTGCTCATAAGTTGATTTGATCTCCCTATTCTGCAAGAAGTAAATTGCCCTCTTATTTCGCCATTTTCATCCTGTTTTCTTAATTAGGCCCTTAAAAATCTCTAGGGCCTCAGCCGGGCCGCAGGCCTCATCCTGGGAATAAATTTTGATCTCGGGCTGATAAAGAGTGAGCAAAGCCCGGGCTGGAACAATGTCATTGGCTCCCCTCCCTCCCCACTGCTATTCTCCTGACATGAAAAGGCTATCAGTTTTTCTCTGTGTTAATATAGGAAATAATTCACACTTCAGGCGTTGTTCTCTATTTAGTGTTCACACTCCCCTGATAAATCAAATCAGGGATTCTGGTTTTTTTAATTTTTTTTTTTTCCCTCTAAAGTGTCTGGAATCACTCGCTCCTTCTGCCCCCCCCCAGCCTCTTCTTGCTCTTTTTTCCCCTCCTTCTCCTTTTAATAAAGTTTCTAAGGTAAACCCCTGTGATTTTCCAGCCTGGGAAGTCTAATTTAAGGTGGATTTTCTTGCTTTTTTCCCCCTCCTGTGTGTGTTTAACACCAGCACCGAGGGGAGTGGGAGCCTGGCACGTGGCTGAGGGGCTGCAGACGTGCCTTGGGATAAGTTTTGCCAGGCACAGGCTCAGCAGGACACTTTAAAAACAGATTTTTTTCCACTTGCACTGGGCAGGAGAGTCCCCGAAACCAGAGGTGATGCTGATCCAGCCTCCAGGACAAAGAAGAAGCTGCCACGCTCCAGGATGTTGTAAATAAATATATTTTTAATGATTCTTCTTCCATTCCAGTTCATTCTTTTATACATTTATTTATAAAACAGTAGTAAAATTTTTTAATCAGGGCACAGTGCATTAAAAAAAAAAAAAAGAAAAAAAAAAGAAAAACAAACAAAACTCCCAAAAATATTAAAAAAAAAAAATAGTAATTATAATCCACAACTGTTTACTCACAGCCAGGGGAGACATCTCGTGCTGAGCAGTGCCCAAGGGCACCCTAAAGCCACAATAATCCACATTTCCCGTGGGATTTCGTGGCCTGGAGCAGCCACCAGCCCCTCTGGAGGGCACAGACCCGTGGCTCTCCCACGCCCACGGGTCCCCAGCACGGCCAGGGTGACCCTGCTGGGGACAGTTCTCTGTCCAGGCACTGATGGCAGCACACAAAGGGTGCCAAGGCCTCCTGTGAACACCCCCAGAGCTCCAGCTCCGAGCCCCCCCTGGCCCTGGAGGGGGCTCTGAGGGCCCCTGGATCCTCCTCATCCCCAGGAGAGCACCCGGAGCCCCTCTCAGGTCACCCAGTGTCCCCTCAGGTCCCCTCCTGCTCCAACTCCTCCTCCCTCTGCACTTCCCCACACCCTCACGTCCCACGGGCTCCTCTGTGGGGCTGTCCCCAAATCCTGCCACCACGGGCCCCTCTGTGGGGCTGTCCCCAAATCCTGCCACCACGGGCCCCTCTGTCCCCCAAATCCTGCCACCACGGGCCCCTCTGTCCCCCAAATCCTGCCACCACGGGCCACCTGTGTCCCCCCAGGACACCCAGCTCCAGGATGGGGGCACAGAGTGACCCCACAGCCCAGGGGGGACGATCCCCAAGGGGTCTCCTCTCCTCTCCAGCTTCTCTCCTCTCCCTCAATAACCCCTGGAGGATTTTCCAGCCTTCCCCTGCTCTTCCCAGCGGGATCGGGAAGTCAGGACCCAAAGCAGCTCCCCAGTACAGAGCTGTGGAACAAACTGGTGACACTGGGAAGAGAAACAACCCCCGAACCCCCAGCTGGGAGCAGCAGCTCAGGTTTGGCAGCTGGCACAAACCATTCCCTGGTCACAGCCTGGAGCTTCAGGCCCACGTGGGGCAGGACTTTGGAGAAGTATTCCCAAAACAAAAGAAGTGGAAAAGCCTTTTATCCTCCCAGGAAAGAGCTGGGGGTGTCACAGGGCAGAGCCACTGCGGGGACACCTCGAGGACACTCAGGGTCACCTGGCAGCCTTGCCCTGAGCTTTTGGGGTGGTGGGGGTGACAACAGGGGCTTGGTGGAGCATCAAACCCCCCCCATTCCAGGCGTTCTGGAACCTTCAACACCCGCCTGCAGACAGCACCCCCGGTGGTGCCGTATTAATGAACACACTCTAATTAACACCTTGTCACCCTGCTGTGACCCCAGAGGCAGCAGGTGCTCCCGGGAAGGAGGAACTGGATGGACTGGGAAGCATCCAGGGGCTGGGGAAGACTCGGTGGGGATGAAGGATCCCAGAGCAAGGCGAGGAGACACCAAACAGGACACAAAGCTCGCAGCATCGTCCCGGGGGCTCGAGGCTCCCAGGCACCACCCCGGGCAAGGGGGTGAGGCCAGGAGGCTTCTGCTGAAAGGCAAAGCAGCCCAGATGTCAATCCCAGGCTGTGGAATCTGCAGCCAGGCCAGAGCCACGGCAAAGCCAGGCAGGTCCATTCTCCTCCTGGCAAAAAAGAAGCTGCGAAAGACACGGTGGCACCCGACCCGAGCCCCGTTGCATAGACAAAGGTACTCCTGGGAAGGTTCAAGTGCATGGTGGGATGGGTTCCTCCTGCCAGGAGCGTCCTGGGACTTGCCCACCCAAAGCTGGTGCTGCAATCCCTGCCCTGGCAGCTGCCCATCACAGCATGTCCGCGTCCTCCATGCTGAAGCTGCTGCGGCGACTGCTGGCCTTGGAGGCCTCGGGGGACATGGCTGAGAACAAGGGGTCAGAGGCCAGGGGCAGCATCGTGTCCTGCATCAGCATCAAGTCCAGCTCCTTCTTGGATAGGGATGGGAAGGAAGTGCTGTGCCCGGGCTCCAGGCTGTCCGGGAAGGAGCTGTCATCGAAGCTCAGGCTGTGGGTAAAGTCCAGCTGGTGAAAGGGAGACTGGGGCGGCGCGGGCAGCGCCGGCTGTGGCTGCGATTCGGGGTCTGGGGGTGGCAGCAGCGGCTCCAGGGTCCCCTCGTCCCCGCTGGCTTCTTGCTTGACCACCTGCTGAGCCAGTTCGGCCACGTTGACGCCCGAGGGAGAGGAGGTGGGCAGCCCGTGGACGCGTGCCTGCATCTCCAGCTCCTGCCAAGGGGACACACAGGGGTTTGGTGGGGGTGTCACACTCGGGGACACGGCACAGGGACACTGACAGAGGTGAGAATCCCGCAGGGAAGGAGCCCCTGGAAGATCCATGCGAAGCTCAGCACGCTGCAGTGAGCCTCAGACATCAGGTTCATCTCAAGACCTTCCTCCTGGTGACTTCCCAGCCAAAAACCAGCAGGAGACACCCTGGCCATGCCCTCGGCAGGGCAGGAGTGAGGGGCTGGTGGGGCTGGGGAGGGGCAGAGCCCAGGGAAGCTCACCTGGATGCGGAGCAGCAGCTGCTTGTTGGCCATCTCCAGGCGCCTCGAGTGATTCTCCAGGTCCCGGGACCTCTGCAGGTCCTTCTGCATCCTCTTGATGTAGTCCACGGACGCCTTCAGGATTGTCCCTTTGTTCCAGCGCACGTCCCTGTCACCAGGATGGAGAAAGGGATGGAGCTGGGTGCCAGCAGTGCGGCCCCTCACCCCTCCTCACCCAGAAGCCCCCGGTGAGCCCAGTTTGGGAGCCGTGGGTACGTACAGGTCGTTGGCTTTGGGGATCAGCATTCCCAGCTCCTTGATGCGGTCGTTGATGTTGAACCTTCGCCGCCTCTCGACTGCGGGTGACAGGAGAGCCACGGAAGTGAGGAGGCAGCAGGAGCAGGGAAGGCTCCGTGTCCCTCCCACGTGTCCTTCCTGTCCCTCGTGTCCCACATCCCTCTGCTGTGCCCCAGTGGGATTGGGGAGCCCAGGATGAGGAAGCTCAGGAGCCAACCCTGCTCCATACGGCCCAGCAGGTCTGATCTCCTCCAGGAGGACACTGGGGTGTCCCCTGTACCCCACTGTGCACAGCCAGGAAGGAGGGGCTCAGGGGGTCTTTCCTGGGATGGGAAGGGGGACCCAGCTCAGGGGAAGTGGGAGTGAGGATGAGGAGTGATGGGGAAAGGCAGGGCTGAACTCACTCAGGTTGTGATTGTCTTTCTTCTGGCGCTCTTTGGCCAGGGCTCGGCTCTCGGCATCTACAAGAGACCCACGGTGTCACCCAGAGGGGACAAAGCTACACCTGGGCTGGCACTGGAGCCCCTGTACCCCCATGGGGACAGGGCAGCCCCATTTTTGTCCCTTGCTCTGGGGCCAGGACATACCTGTGAGTTCTCTCTTCTGGGTGAGGTCAGCAGGGCAGGAGCTGCTGGTGACACCAACGAGTGACGCTGTCACCTGCGGGTCCCCACTGTAGACATTCATGTGACTGCTGGACATGGGCAGCTGGAAAGCAGAGGGACAGCTGGGTTAGCTCCATGCAGGGCTGGGCACCGGGATCACACCCAGCCGGGCAGGTGGAATCGTCCTCCCAGCTTAAAGCAGCTTTCACCAGAGCTGAAAAGAAAACAGGACTTCAAAGGGCACAGCTGATCCCCTCCCGTGACCAACATCTAAAATAGGGCAGGTGAATCACATCTGAGAAGGGCTGGGCAGGATGAATCCCACGAGCTGCCACACGGATCTGCCCCGGACACGGCGCTGCTCTGGGGAAGGTCCTGGCAGGGAAACCTCTCCTGGCTCTCCCATCTCCCCATGCCTCACTCCTACCTCTCCAGCTTTTTCAAACGGTTCCCAACTGTCCCCAAGGGAAAAAAAGCTGGAGAATTGATTCTTGTGGGTGTTGCAGTCTCCAGGGACCAGGCTGGCTAGGGCTGCCACCAAGGCACCGCTGTGGGGACGTGGCAGAAGGTCCCCTCTGTGCCACCTCTGTAGCTGCAAGGACAGTGCTGTGGCACCCCCAGGTCCTGTCACCCCCCCACTCACCGTGTTGGGCATGTGGACTTCAGGGTTCATGTAACCCAAAACATCATCCAGGCGCATGATGTCATCGATGACCTCATCAAACTGAAAGGCAAAAGGACAAGTCCCTACGGGCTCCTGTGCCCTCCCCAGCACCCTGCGTGTCCCCAGCAGCCCGGTGACACCTCCTCACCTCCCGCTCGGGGTTGGAGCCGATGTTGAGCATGGCCATGGGGCTGTTGGGAGCGCTGTTGCCCGCCGAGGAGGACAGGACATGGCCGGGCCGGACGCCGGGGGACGCGGCCGGGGGTGGCTTGGGAGAGTGGCTGGCGGGGCTGACGTGGGCAGCGAACTTGTTCCCGTAGGTTTCCGAGAGATAAGCCTGCACCTTCTTGTCCCGAGACTTCTGCAGGTGGTAGGTGGTGGGGTTCTCCAGGTAGGACTGGACCTGCGGGGACAAAACCCATCAGGGACCCCGTGGGATGTCCCACCCGGGTGAGGGGACAGCACGGTACCTTGAGGACCTCTCCGGGCACGGGAGGTGGGGACTGGAAGTGGACGGGGGTGTTGATGGCGGGGCTGGAGGCCACGGGCATGCGCTGCTGCTGCATGTAGTTCATCATCATCTGCTGCTGCACCCGCTCCCGCTCGGCTTCCTGCTGCGCCTGCTGCTTCATCAGCTCCATCCGCAGCCCGATGCGGGACGCCATGGTGACACGCGGGGCTGGCGGCCGCAGGGGTCACCCTGGCAGGGGGACACGGTGCGTCACCGACAGCCTTGCGCAGAGGGGAAACTGAGGCACGGAGAGGCGTCCCAGAGCGCCCGCACTGGGTCGTGACTAAAGCAGGAGGGACACCCCAGGACGGCTCTGCCCTGCTGTCACACAGCAGGAGGACCTGGTGCCACCACCCAGCCTGGCTGTGAGACCCCCCCCCCACAGCTGCCTCCTTACAGAAAAAAGGGCTGAGGAAGTCAAAAGCACCCCCAGGAAGCTCCAGAGAAGGGAAACTGAGGATGGGGAAGGGTGGCCAGAGCGGGGATTGACAAGGAGAGGGGGGAAATTAGGGTCTGGCAGGAAGGGAACCCCGATGGAGCAGCCAGGACCCCGCGCCGTGCACTCACCCCGCAGCCACTTCCCAAACACCGCAGCGACAGCAGAGCCCAGAGCGAGCCCGGGAGCGAAAGGGAAAGAGAAAGCGAGGGAAGGGCAGCAAGAAAAGGCCGGCGGGTGCCAGGAGCCGGGGGCAGGTCGCAGCAGAGCCCGGCCGGGCGCGGGGCGAACAAGGCGAGCTCTGTGCGGGACCCGCACGCGAGCGCGGGGACGGGGGGGACCGCAGCGGGCACGGAGCGGCACAGACCGGCCCTTGTTCCCCGGGACAAAGGGGACGGCGGCCCGAGCAGGGTGGGGGATGCCGGGGCTCGGGGAGCAGCCCCCGGCACGGCCGGCAGGGCTTTCCACGGGGCTGGGATGCGGGAGGAGCGCAGCAGCATCCCAGGGAACGGCAGGCAAAGGAAAAGCTGCCAGGGGAACAGGCAGGGAGGGGAAAGCAGAGAAATCTGGAGGGTTTTTTTGCTGTTTAAATGGAAGCTCAGAGATGGAGGGGCCTCGGTGGTGACAGCCACCCGCAGCCGGTGCCACGCGTTACCCGGAGGGGAAATGAAATCAAGGAGGATGACACAGCTCAAGAGCAGCTATTGAGCGGCCAAGGGAGGGGAATTCATTAGCCATGGTGGCCTGGCCCAAGGGGGATGGGAGCCCAGAGCCGGGGACAGCGATCCACTGGAGCTCCGTGAAGGGGGACGTGCCAACAGCGCTGGAGGAGGGCACGGGGGAGAGGTGGGGTGAGAAATAAAACCCTGGAAAAGACCCCAGAGACAGCCCCCAGAGGATGGAACAAGGCTGAATTAAGGGGGATGCCCACGGGGGGTGCACAACCCCAAAACAAGGCTGAATTAAGGGGGAAGCCCACGGGGGATGCACAACCCCAAACTCGAAGGGAAGGGAGAGAGGCTTTTCTCAAGAAGGGCTGGCACGCGTGGGTGTCACAGAAAGCCACCCCCAACACAGCACCCACTGAGCCCTGCTGGTCCTGGTGCCACCACCCAGCCTGGCTGCAGGACCCCCCCAAGCTGCAGAAAACGGGGGTGGGAGAGCCAAAAACTCCTGAGAAGAGCTGCAGAAGATGAGGATGAGGATGGGGAAGGGTGGCCAGGGGTTGGCTTGGTGAGGAGAAGGGGGGAAATTAGGTCAGGTTTAAAATAAGCCCTTTGGTTCTGCTTGGCTTCCCCCCCCAGCCCCCAAAATTCTGAGCAGCTTCTGCTTTCACTCTGAGTCAGCCCCGGCAGGAGGGTGGCAGCGGGACAGGATGGGGACATGGGGCCCACGTCCCACCCTGGGGACACAGCCCACCCTCCCCTGATCCACGGGGACAGCCACAAGAGCACTGGAATGGCAGCTCCAGCCTGTTATTCCTGGGAGGGCACCCAGTGCTTCTCCCACTGAGCCACAGCCACCAGTGGGAGCCCCAGACTGGTCCCTACTGGGAGAGCCCTAGCCAGCCTTGTCCCTGGAGGCTGCAACACCCACAAGAATCAATTCTCCAGCTTTTTTTCACCACTTTGAGGACAGTTGGAGACCCTTTGAAAGAGCTGGAGAGGCAGGAGAGAGAGCAAGGGTGGGGAGATAGAAAAATCAGGAGAGGTTTCCCAGGCTCATCCTGGTGCCCAGGGAGGCACCACTGGAGTGGGAGCTGGAGCAGCTGGGAAGGGCGTGGAGGGGTCAAAAGGGATGGATCAAATCTGGATGATCCCAGCCCCTCTCCACAGCCCAACTCCACTTTTCCAGCCCGGAGGAGCACAGGACAGGGGCTGTCCAGGCTGCAGCCGTGCTCCAGCAGCACCCCCAGCCCCACGGCAGGGCTGGAGCCAGGGAATGCATCTCCCTTCCCAACGTCCCTGCTGCTGCTCAGGAGTTCGGTTATTTCTGTTTATTTCTGTTTATTTCTGGTTGTTTCTGGTTATTTATTTCTGGTTATTTCTGGTTATTTATTTCTGGTTATTTCTGGCCCTTCCTCGCTCTCCCTCCGGGGGTGTCACATCAGCAAGAACCCGAGCCCCCAATGGCACTCGGGGGTGGCTCCAGCTGGAGCATCCCCAGAGCTGCCCCAGCTCTCCCTCAGCCCCCCAGGACCCCACAGAGCCCCGAGCTGTCCCTCAGCCCTACGGTGACAGCCGCTGGTGACACGGGGGTGGCTGCTCAGCGACCGCTGGGACGTGCCGGACGGACAGTGCTGGGGGCCAGGCCGGTGACAGAGCCACTGCCCGAGCTGGCAGGGGCCACCCAGTGCCACCTGAAGGGACACAGCACCTGGAGGAGCCACAGCAGCGTCCCCAGGCTCAGGTGTGCCTGAGAAACCCAAGCTGCCCACAGGCATTTTCCAGATTTAGCCGCGGGGATCGCCTTACCCTGGCAGGGGAGGTGGCACCGGGTGCCTGGCACGGCCACAGCACCCCCGGCGGGTGCCACACACCTCCTGCCACCCCTCTGAGAACGGGGAGCCAGGAGAACCCCCAAAGTCACTGCAGCAAGCCCCTCCTGTGTTTTATTTCCCGGTCGATCGGGGCCGTTTACGAGTGGAAAAATCAATCAGCAGCTCCGGGAGGGAGAGGGGACCCTGGGGACAGGAGGGGGGACAGGGCAGGGACCATCCACCCACCCTGACCCCAGCTGGGCTGGGAACTGAGGGGCAGCGAGAAGGAAAAGGAGAAGAAAGAAGTGAAAACAGCTTTGGTGCTCGCCACGGGCTGGCCCAGCCTTCCCTTCCTTCCTTCCTTCCTCGTTTTTCATTTTCAAACCCGGGGGTGGCAGGGAGGGAGCACAAGGGACCCCAGCCCAGGGAGCCCCGAGCCCAGGGCTTGCTCTGATGTCACCAAGCTGTCACCTCATCACACAGCCACAAATCCATCCCGTGTGTGCCCCAGCCTGGGGACAGGCTCTGCTGTCACCCTGCTGTGACAGGGGACAGGGGACAATGAGGATGGGGTTACTGGGTGCAGAATAGAGGGGCTTGGGGACCCTGCAGGTCACTGAGGGGACTGGGGACCCTGCCAGGGCCAGCAGGACACAGAGGGAATTGGGGACCCTGCAGGTGGCAGTGCCAGCAGGTCACAGAGGGGACTGGGGACCCTGCCAGGGCCAGCAGGACACAGAGGGGCTTGGGGACCCTGCAGGTGGCAGGGCCAGCAGGTCACAGAGGGAATTGGGGACCCTGCAGGTGGCAGGGCCAGCAGGTCACAGAGGGGACTGGGGACCCTGCCAGGGCCAGCAGGTCACAGAGGGGACTGGGGACCCTGCAGGTGGCAGGGCCAGCAGGTCACAGAGGGGACTGGGGACCCTGCCAGGGCCAGCAGGTCACAGAGGGGACTGGGGACCCTGCAGGTGGCAGGGCCAGCAGGTCACAGCTCCCCCTCACCCGGGCCAGCCCCGTGTTCCTCATTTTCAGCAGCCACGTGGGGTGCAGGGGGGGAAGTTGCAAAAAACCCTCCTCCAAACCTGCTTGTTTTTTGTCACTGCAGCACAGCAGTGAGCAACAGGGCTGAGAAAAAGCGTGGAAAAATTGATGCAGGCAGTGCCACCGGGGACTGGGTGTGTCCCAGGGACACCTCTGTAAATGCAGAGGGGCAAATCTGTCCCTTGTCACTGCAGGGGATGTGGCACGCAGGGATCCCTCACCCAGAGTGGGGCAGAGCAAGCACCTGGATTGTGGGTGGAAAAAGGCTGGAAAAGGCAAAGTTTGGGGAAGCTGGCAAGAAAGACGGAGAGAGAAAAGGGCCTGGAGTGCCAGGACAAGGGGGAATGGCTTCAAACTGCCAGAGGGGAGGGATAGATTTAGGGATTTTAGGAAGAAATTGCTCCCTGGGAGGGTGGGGGGAGCAGGGATGGAATTCCCAGAGAAGCTGTGGCTGCCCCTGGATCCCTGGGAGTGTCCCAGGCCAGGCTGGACAGGGTTTGGGACACCCTCAGTGTCCCTGCCCATGGAATGAGCTGAGCTTTGAGGTCCCCACCACCCTGTGACAGCTCAGCAGCACCTGGGGTCCCTCCAGCCCTCCCAGCTGGTCCCCAGAGTGGCAGTGCCAGCAGCACACCTGTGTGACAGCGCTGGGGACACCCCAGGGTGCTTTGCACCGCGTCCCCGTGCTCCCTGCAGCCCCAGGCCAGGAGTGCAGCTGCAGCCAGGTGGCCCTGCCCAGCTGGGACCAGCCCCAGCTGCCCCTTGGGGCACTCACTGCCCTTGGCAAGGCCACCACGGCGTGACTGATGGCCTGCCAGGGCACCCCCAGCGCCAGGGCTCAGCTCAGCTCCTGGGAATGCTCAAGGTGGGCAGCTCCAGGAAGGAGCAGGGGCTCAGGAAGGGATTGCTCCCCACAGACCGGGCAGCAGGGCCACCCCTGGAAACCCTGACCCAGCAGCAGAGGCTCCAGAGACCCCATCCAGCCCCTGGGATGGGGATGGGAGGGAAAACAGGAGGATAACCCCAGCTCCAACCCCAGAGAGCAGCAATGCTGTATGGGGAGCCCAGCACCCACCCAGGAGCTGTGTGGGACCCTGGGAGCCATCCCAGCCCATCCAGAGCTTCCTTCCACCCAGGAGCAGGATTCCTGTGACCTCTGGGAGCCATCCCAGCCCATCCAGAGGCTCCTTCCACCCAGGAGCAGGGCTCTGTGACCCCTGGGAGCCATCCCAG